CCTGGCTGGGGAGCGTGGGGGCAGATGAGGGGCTGACAGCAACTGACTGGGGGGTTGGGGAAGCAGGAGCTGGGGGCGGGGCCAGTGAGGTAGGAGAGTCAGGAGGCGGGGCCCTGGTTGGCCCTGAGGTAACAGGGGCCTCTTGGTGAGCAGATGGCAGAGCTGAAGAATCTAAGAGACAAAGAAAATCATCACCATGGTGCCCCTGGGTGGGGGGGGAAGCAAAACTGTGGTGTTCCAAGTGGACCCTGGGCTCAGCATCCTTTTTCTCCCATTGTCTTCCCATCCTACTGACCTTGAATGCCCCTGATGAGAACCTTCTCAGAAGGGTTGCTGAAGGGCCCCTGCCCAGCACGGTTGACACAGGCCACTCGAAACCTTATGGTCACGCCAACTGGCAGGTGGGTCACGTTGTAGTAACAGTCAGGGATGCCTGAACTCACAGGGTGCCAGACAGACTCCCCTGTAGGCAGCAGGGGCAAGGGACTGAGGCCACAGAAGGGGTGGCCCAAGGTCCCAGTGCTATCTGTGAAGAGCCGGGTAGGGCACTTGTCTCCCCAGATTCCTCTACATTCCACCTGCCATCCCCTCCCCAACGCCTCCTCCACCGACCCTGTGCCTCACCATCCACCCGCCGCTCCAACGTGTACGTGCAAGGTGCCCGGCTGTCTCCTGGCTTCCAGAGCACAAGTGCCGTGTCCCGGTAGGTCTGGGGCACCTCGGGAGGAGCTAGCTTTCCTGGAACACCTGGCAAGAGGAGGAGAGTCCCAGTGAGCCCCTGTGCCCCAGCTGAGAACCCCTCACGCCCTCCCCCCCATCCATCCCCATTGCCACCCTCCTTGGGCCCTGCCCCAGGCTCACGGGCCACAGCCACGGTACAGGAGCTGGTGATGCTGCCTAGGACGTTGGTGGCTGAGCACTCATAGAGCCCGGCGTGCCGCTTGCCCGCCCGGGGGATACTGAGCAGCTGCCGCCCATCTTTGCAGGACACGATCACCACCGAGGGCTCTGTCCGCAGGGACTGCTTGTCTGAGGGTAGGAAGGAGAAGGAGGAGCTGCTGGGTGAGGCAGAACTTGTCCAGGCCCCTCTCGCTTGCTCCCTACCCCAGCATCCCCTGAATCATGCTCACCCGAGGCCTAGGTTCTCCCATCCCTGGGGCTCAGGGCCATTTAACAACCCCCACCCCCTGCAGGAGGAGACATGATCTCCTTACCTTTCTTCCAGGAGATGCGTGGTGCAGGGCAGGCTGCTGGTAAGCAGAGTAGGGTGGCTGCCTCCCCCTCCAGCAGCACCTGGTCCTTGAGTTTGATGTGGAAGACTGGGGGAAAGTCTGGAGGGAGAGCAGAGACAGCCATCTATCTGCAGGGACCCTGGCCCACTTATCGCTGAGGAAGGGGAGGATGACTGTGAGTGCTGGCGGCCAGTAGGAAGCAGAGTGAAAGGTTGTCTTTTCCCAGCCAGATGTGGGAAGTGGAACCCCATGCCGTGACTTCTAGAATTTTCTTTGGGATGGGCATCATTTTCCCCAAGCTCTCCTGGTGGGTAGAACTGTCTTCTCCTTGTGTTGACTGCTGACAGTGCTACCTGCTTTATGTGTTTGTAAATCACTTAGAGCAGGGCCTGGCACTAAGTAAATGCTCTATATGCATGTATTGAATAAAATAAAAAACAAACAAATGTTGAAGGATGATAGAGACAAAGAAAATCCCGCAATGCCCACTCCCTCTGGGGCACCACAGGAGGAGCGAGATGAGTTAGTGACCCGAGCCAAGATGGGATTGAATAGAGAACATTCCATTCCACCAGAATGTGCAGTGTCAAAAGATCTGAAGTCTAGGAAAACTGGGGACAGACCCTGGAAGTATGTTAGCCTCCTTGACCCAATGCCAGCCTAGGGTCTGGGAACCACGTTCTAGGCCTTCCACATTGTTCTTCAGGTCAATAAGTGGTGACCACTTTTGAAGGGGCAAGAGACAATATATGCATGACTTTGGGCAAGTCATTTACCCTCTCAGAGGCTCCATTTCTTATCTGTAAATTGAGGAAAATAATAATGCCAAGCTCACAGAATTCTTGTAGTGAGAATTAAGAGGCATGTAAAGTGCATAGCATGTGTCTGGCATACAATAAGTGCTCGTAAATATTAGCTTTGATTGTTGTTATTATCTCATTAATATGCTCAGACGAGAAGCCAGGAGCAGACCCCCAGAGAAAGAGGACGTTTCAGCAAAGCAGAGGAGCTGCCTTCACAGCTGGCTGGTGACTGTGCCCATGCGGGGCTGGGGATGGGACCAGGGTTATTTTTTATTTTTTATTTTTGCTTCAGTGTGACCAGCCTGTGGCTCCTTAGTGCCCTGAGGATTTAAGTTCATGATTCCTAGGAATGTCCCTTTAGAAAAATCCCAGTTTGGTCACAGGGGTAGAGGAGCGCATAAGGAGGAACTTGGAGTGGGGAGGGGTTTTTCACCCCAGCAGAGGGAGCTGAGGGCCTCTGAGAGCCCCAGCTGCTGACTGTCTGAAGAACCAGGAGGGTCTGTGAGTGGGGATGAGCTAGGCAGGAGAGGAATACTCAGCAGGAGTGGATGACCAGGACAACAGCATGTCCCCCGCTTCCCACTGTACCCCATTGTTCCCCAAGGAGAGGTCCCACACGGAGCCTCCAACAACATAATGTGAATATAGTTTCTTTTTTTTTTTTTCTTTTTGAGTTGGAGTCTCACTCTGTCGCCCAGACTGGAGT